ATTTCAACATTTTAGGGACTAAATTGACTAAATTTAAAATATGTGAGCCTTATGTGTAATTTTGAGATAGTTAGAGACTATCAAACTTATTTAGCCAAAATTTGAGACAATGACAATTTGGCATTAAGTCACCAAAGGCTTCTCTAAAAGATTTTAGAAAAGCAAAATCCCTTTCTCCTTTTTGTCTTAAGCTTCCCAAAACCCAAACTCACCATTTTCTCTGCATCTTTCCCCTTTATTTCTAGCCGGTCTTCTGCACTTTTTCTCCTTTGGTTGCTGAGTGGGATGTGTAGGACGCACCCTCTAGTGAAATCTCTCACCCTCTAGTGAAATCTCTTTCAATTTCTGCTGGTTGTTTGAGTTTGGTGCTTTGATTTCCAAGTAAATATAAGTTTTAAATTATGAATTTGGGATTAAAGTTTTTGGGTAAATATGAGTTTTGATTATAAATTTGAGGTAAAAATTTTTTTGGTAGATTATAGATTTATTTCAATAAACTAAAAATTAGTTTAAATTAATGAAATTTGATCCAAAACTTTAGTTTAATAGATATTTGGATATTAAGATTTTGTTAAGAATATATCAATTTTTGGGGCCTATACAATGAAAAAACAATGAATTATTCGTTATTTTTTTTATGTTTAATTTAGTGTGAATTTTGTGGATTAAGGGGCCTTGCTGGAACTGTTTCACGAGGTACTGTTCACGAATTACTGTTTACGAACACTGTTCCCGAATACTGCTCACGCATTAATTATCATTCATGCAGTGTACTTCAATTTCTTTCAATATGAAGTTTTATGAAATATGTGAGTTTTATGAAATATGTGAGTTGTGTATCTGGATATTAGTATGAACTTAAATTGTCCTTGCAACTGATTAGTGACAACAATAAATGAGATAATATTCTAAAATTATTTTGGACAAGTTCTAAACTTGTTTGACATGTGTATGTGCTTGTGGTTATGGAGTTAGTGGACCTAAACTTAAAGTTTGAGATATTTAGTGGACCCTTTGGGGTATTTAGTGGATCTCTGCGCAGTAGAATTAGTATTGTGATTAGCTCTAGTATAATGTTGCTATCACACATCAGTGAACTCCATAGTATTGTGTGATTTTCAACTTTGTGCATTATGTTTGTGACATCACATTTACAAGCACATGATTTTATTATATGAATTTGATTTAAATATCATTAATTATTCCTTGACATGTGATTATGATTTGAGACATTAAGTTATTGTTTAAATACTGAGAATTATAATATTATGTGATTTGATTTCGTTGTATCTCCTGCTCTTTATGTATATAGATCTAAGTCTAGGGATCTTAGGACCCAAGTTTATAACTTAAACTTACTACTTATTGAGTTTTTAGCTCATAAAATTCCCCCCCATTTCAGATTAGTAAACTGGAGTAATGACCACTCAACTTGAGAGCTTTCGATATAAATCTCGTATGCTGAGCTCAGTGTTTTTGTTGTGAAGGCAGATTAATGTATTACCAAAACGATGATTTCGCTTTTATTGTTTTAAAAAGTATTTTGAAAAGCAATTGCTTTCATGTATTTCTTTGTATAAATTACTTTTATGTATATGACATTAAGATTAATTTAAATGAGTATAACCTAACTTATTTTATAACTTTGAGTATTTCGATATTTTTCTTAAAATATTTTTCATTTAAATAGTTTTCCCTTGCAGATGAAAGATTTTCATTCTATAAAATTTTAAATTGTTTTGAAAGCAAATTTTCCTTAAAAGGGAAATGTTTTATATATAAAGAGTTTTTACTTCCGTTGCAATATTTTTTTATAGATCTTGAAGAGTACATTTTCCTACTTGGTAAACCAAGAGATTTATCAAAAAGGGGATGTTACACGTCAACATCCACCAATTTTAGCTATTAAAATCTATAATTTTAAGTTTTTCTATCTTTAATTTAAATTCGAAAAAAATAATTTCTTAATAAATTTGTTGTGTAATGTATTAAATTAAAGGATAACTGTATCAGTCTCCTTGAATGAAAAATGATTCAACATCATCCTTTTACAAACGTATGTGTTCACTGATAATTTTTTGCTCTTCTTTTTGTTAGTGTTCTTTCACTCATCATATATGTTCATTTTGCCCATTAATTGATGGCATTTATATTACTTCATCAATGACTATAAATCTAAAGATTGATAAATTTTGTTCATAATAATTTTTTTTCTCTTTTATGGGCTTTTTAATTTACACATAGACACACCATTTTTAAGTCAAGGTTTTGTTTTGCCCCCATGAAAAATATTCCTTGCTATGCCACTGTTTGTGATTGAAGATAAAAGAGTCACAGTAGTTAAGAAGATTGGAGATGTTTTCCTAAGTAACTGTTTGGTTTATCACCAGCAAGGAACCGAGTTCATAATAGGTTTAGTGTTTAGCAGCTTAAGAGAATGGCAGTAATGGAACCAGTTGAACTGAATCTATCAAAAAAAAGAAAAAAAAAAACTAGATGAACTGAAAAAGAAAAATGATTAGTTTAGCATCTGGTTACCATCAACTAAAGACCAAATCAGACGACAGTATGAGAACATTTAGAATCAAGTATGGTATGAATTCCTGTTTACACGTTTTACTTATACTCAGCAACAATTATGGACTTAATGAACAGACTTTCAACCATATCTGAACAGAGTTGTCATTTTGTATATTGATGATGTACTAGTCTGTTTCTCTAATGAAGATAAACATAGAAAACATATGATTATTTTATTACAAACTTTGGAGGAAACAGAAATTGTTAAACTAATAAATTTGAGTCTGGAATGTCACAAGTCAGATTTTTAGGCATGTAATTCTGCAGAAGATATTTTAGGGAACTCCAGCAGGTTGAGGGCTATAGGAAACTAGGAAAGATCTACAACTGTGATAGTAGTTAGCAGCTTTCTAGTTTCGCTTGCTACGGTATAAAGTTTGTGAAAAGTGCGCCTCAAAAGTTTGCTACAGTATAAACTTTTCTTCAATTTGTTCAGCAGTTTTCAGAAAGTCGAAGTAATATATATACGCACACTATACCCCAAGCTGTGCTTGTCGCACTTCGTTAACTTTAGTTAGGTGTATCTTAAAATATATTTGGTTTTTTTATTTTGAATTTGCCCCAAATTAAATTAATTATCATTTTTTTTATTGTTTAAAGTGAATACATTTTTTTT